GTGGTCAGTTTTGCACTTTTGATGTTATTTCTAGCAAGAAATCAGTATTATAATACTTAAATATTTTTTTTAGTTATAATCAAAACTCGTTCTATTTTGTTGTAGATCATTAAACAGTTACGCTGCCTCAGAAGTCTGTCCGAAATCTGTTTCATGAGGTGCCTTCGTGCAAAAACGCTGCCTGCAAAGTCAATGCCTCTTAAGGCAGCGAGGCAGCAAGTCAGCTGCCTAGGCTTTCGGACGCAGCCGGTATGTGTGCTGGAGCAGGGTTGGTACAAAACTCTGCAGGGCTCCGGCCCTCCAGGAATTGAGTTTGACACCCCTGCTCTAGATGCTTTCAGCCTTTGAGCAAGCTTTTCTGATGACGTTTTCAGACCCCCGATCTGCTGAAAAACGATGTCGCAAACAATCAGGACCTGAAATATGTGTTATTGTGAAGATATCTGAGAGAAGTATTCAGACACTAAACACAATATAAATATTAAACAAGTACAGGCACAATTCTAGTTTTATGGTAAAAACCGTTTTGGAGCACATACAGACTAGAGATTCCAAGATTTTGTTCTGTTAAAGATGAAAATATAGTATCAACTATATCAGAGAGTCTTTCCCTAAATGGCACATAAAACTGAATGAACAGAGGTTGGTTACTTTACATTTTTCTAAGTGGGTGGTTCTTGGCCAAAATAAGCTGCAAAGTGGACCAGACATAATGCCAATAGTCTGTGTGAGACCACACTGGAATAGGCAATGGTTAAGTGCGTCTTACTGTAAGTAGTCTAAGTGACTAGTTACTGTAAGTACCATTACATTGTTAGATGTGGGACTTATGTTTGGCGCTTTTGTGTTAGCATTTTCTTTACTATTGCTGAAGTATTTACCTCTTGTCACTGTTTTTATTCAGGGCACATGGTCTTTGTAATTAAATACTTGTTTAAGTAAGTGCCACAATCACTTGGGTAAAAAAGCAACGATTTAGTTTTAATCCTCACTTTCATACCCTAGTAAAAAAAGTAATATATTTAAAATACATTTATTTAATACAAAGTATAGTTTGAATCTATTAAAATATTTACTGACATATCACCTGGGACTTACTGATATAAAAATTATAATTAACCTTTTTTTGGAGTACTACTTGTGCACAATGTACATTTCTTAATATTAAGCCTGAAATGTGTTTTAATGTCACTATTGATGAGGATTGTATGATCATTGAATAATATCAGTTTTTAAATGCAAGATATTTAAAGTGCACCTGAAGTATACTTGCAATAGTTCCACTTTAGCACAATCAAATATACTTCAGTATATCTTTAGTTGGACTCAAGCAGTACTTCTGCACAATTAAAGTGCATTAAACACAAACTTAGTTGTTCCAATTTAGCAGACTTTAAGTATACCAGTTTAGTATACCAAAAGTACAATTGCAGGGTATTTTCATTAAGTACATAAATATGCAAATTTATTTGTAGGAGACTTGTGTGAGTATGAAATAAATGTATTTCAAATACAGTATTTTTCACTAGGGTACTGTACCTTGTCTCCACAGTTTTCACAGTTCATCAAACAGCAGGTTTTAGAAGGTAAAGGACGTCTTAAACCAGCTCAGGATCCGGATAGTGTCATCAGGGGTATGTTCAAGAACCAGGATAGGAACGCTGATGGTCTGATCACTCAGGATGAGCTAAAACTAAAAGTGGATGAAGATGTAGAGAAAACACGCCATGAAGAACTGTGAAACGTGTTCACAAAAGCATGTGAATGTACATGCATTCAGCAGAGAACAAAGCAACAGACTCATAATCCTGAGGCTGAAAACCGGACCAACATGCTTCCCAGAATTAAAAGTTTGTACATTTGATGGTCACATATTTTTATACTCCTAAAAATGTTGGATCTCAAAAATGCATTTGTGCCATTGAATAAAATGTTCAAAATGAATGTATTTGCAAACATTTTATTTTGAAATATGATGACTACCCTTACAAACAAGAAATGTATTCAAGTGTGCTATTAGTTTACTTCTTTTAGACTGAAAATAAGGGGAAAAAACTTGTAATTAATAATTTGGTCAAGATATACTTAAGAAAATATAATAATTTAATAGAATTAAGTATAATTATTCTAAGATTTAAAAAAAAAAGTCTCCAATGCTGAATTTACTACTGTATTACTATATTATGTAATATATGTAAATTTTCAGCAGCCATTATGCCAGTCTTCAGTGTCACATGATCCTTAAGAACAGGGCTGCGTTCAGCCCCAACAAAAACGGTGCAAAACGTTTTTCAAACGGAAACGGTGGTGCGTTGAACACTCTGTTCTGATAACGCAAGAATTGCAACTATGGCAGCTGAGAAGCACATTAATTGTGTTCTTTTTGAATAATCTTCGGAGCCTGATGAAATCGGTATAAATACGTGTTTAATACTGCAAAATACGCTCGATGTTACAGTCACTGCCCTTGCC